GAAAACGAAGAGGAATGATCATAATATTGTAGAGAGGAGTTTATAAACTATGACTAAGAAGGGGGGAGGTGGAAGAGGGATGGAGGGAAGGTCTGCCAAAGGTTAAATGAAACAAAACCCAACCACAAAACCAGTGTTCAAAATAAACACAGACCAAATACCAAAAATAAAAAAGTGAAGTGCAAGTAACAGAATATCTAACTTCAAATCTTTGACCATAAGGATTAAACATAAAAAAAAAAACCAAAACATATTTTATGATGTAATACTTTTTAACAAATTTTTATTTAAGCCTTGTGTTTAAAGATGAGATTATATAATTTTAAATTTAAGTGTGTTTTTTTTTTTTTTTTTGTGTTTCACATTTTTTTTTTTGGCAAAGGGGCACTTGTCTACATGGTGTGTATGATGGAACTTCACAACAACATTATTCCGTTGATTAAAAGTAACAAGGGGTTTGTTAGGATGTCTTAGTTTTGAAAAAGTATATATATATTTGGAATGTCAGTGTCTAAATTTTATTTCTGTGATGTGTCAATGTCTAAATTGTATTTCTGCGATGTGTCAGTGTGTGAATATGGGCCGTATTCAGGGCCGGACTGGGGATACGAAGCAGCCCTGGAAAAAAATCTATGCCAGCCCCATAAGTCATTGTGCTATGTAGGGTGTGTATATATATATATATATATATATATATATATATATATATACACACACACACACAATTGAAATAGTTGGCTGCACTCTCGGATTTCCTGAAAATGTAACTTTTATTGAAATATTTAAGAGAAGATCAATGTTTCAGTCCCTCTTGTGGACTTTCGTCAGGATCATGACGAAAGTCCACAAGAGGGACTGAAACGTTGCTCTTCTCTTAAATATTTCAATAAAAGTTACATTTTCAGGAAATCCGAGAGTGCAGCCAACTATTTCAATTGCCTATATATATATATAAATATAGGCAATTTAAATAGTTGGCTGCACACTCATGCTTACTACAGACAAGCTCACTGTACACACATGCTCACCACAGACAGGCTCCGACACACCCATGCTCCTTACAGACAAGCTCACTAACACACACACACATATGATCCCTACAGACAAGTTCACTGACACACATACAAGCTCACTCACTAGCAGGCACACACACACAAACTCACTAGCAGGCACACACACACACACACACAGGCTCCCTCACTAGCAGATACGTGCACACACACACAGAGGCAGACAGTCACTGACACCCAGGCAGACAGCCACACACACACACACACACAGGCAGACAGTCATTGACACCGAGGCAAACACCCACTCATACAAAGACAGGCAGACAGCCACACACATACACAGACAGGCAGACAGTCACACACACACAGGCAGTCACACACAGGCAGACAGTCACACACTCACAGACAGTCACACACTCACAGTCACACACTCAGTCAGACACTCACAGACAGTCACACACTCACACAGACAGTCACACAGACAGTCACACATTCACACAGGCAGTCACACAGACAGTCACACACAGTCACACACTCACACAGACAGTCACACACTCACAGGCAGTCTCACACAGACAGTCACACACTCACAGGCAGTCACACACTCACACAGTCACACACTCACAGGCAGTCACACAGAGACACTCACACAGAGACAGTCACACACTCACACAGAGACAGTCACACACTCACACACAGTCACACAGAGACAGTCACACACTCACAGGCAGTCACACACTCACACAGAGACAGTCCCACACTCACAGACAGTCACACACTCACACACTGACCTCCTTCTTACCTCCTGTTTGTTGCTCCTGCAGGCTGGTTGTTGGGGAAGCAGGACTCCTTCCTGCTTCCCATGCTGCAGTCAGCCGGGCCCTGCCGCAGGTAAGCCCCGCCCCCGCCGCACGCTAAGCCCCACCCCCGCCGCATTAAGTTCCGCCCCCGCCGCAATTTTATTTTTTATTTTTTTATGATCCCGGCTGGCCGTGTGTGAGAGCTGTGCCGGCCGGCTCCCCCTGGCTCCCATGGGGCTCTGTGCGGCCGGAGCTGTCAGCCCAATGATTAGGGCTGTCAGACCGGCCCCAGGTGCCGCGGCCCACCGGGAAATTTCCCGGTATCCCGGTGGGCCAGTCCGGCCCTGCTGCTGTGACATTGCAGTTTGACAAATTTAATTTTTTTTGGTGCTAAAAAGTAAATTTGGGGCATGCGCTTCATATCTGAGAGTCAAATAGAACCATCAAATACTGCTGTGACATAGCAGTTTGACTAATTCACATTTTTTTGGTGCTAAAAATAAAATTTGGGGCGTGCACTTCATATCTGAGAGTCAAATACTGCTGTGACATTGCAGTTTGACTAAATCAAATTTTTTGGGTGCTAAAAAGTAAATTTGGGGCTTGCACTTCATATCTGAGAGTGAAATAGAACCGTCAATGTAACGGATCGCCTGGCACCCCGACTGGGTACCTCCGTTAAAGGATGCTCCTAGCGCTTCCTGAGGACTCCAAGCACTGCAGCAGACACCACAACCACCGAACCAGAGAAGCATATGAATCCTCTCAAGCATATGAATGCTGTAGACAGTTGAATAGGAACCATATGAATAGGTTTACTCTCCTAGCAGTCAAACTGGAACAGCATACAATAAATCCTTCCCCAATAATGAGACGACACTTCACTTTGAGGGTTAAGCAGGAACTCTCTGTACTGTCACATACAGTCTCTTTTATTCCCAATCCACAAACATAGTACAGCCCACAGGGCGTTACAAAACAACCAATCACATCACAGTTATATCCCACATATTCCCTCCCCTTATCCTGAGAGGAAACTCAATTATACATACAGTTAAAACATACTTTCTACCCAACTTTCATAACTCCAAAACCATACATCACATTCACATAAAATTACATATTCACAATCAATCCATTCAGGGAACAACATATTCAAAAATGGCACAAATCAGACAAGGGGTTCAAAAGTTAGTAAAAAGTCCTTTGTGACTAAATGAAGCATGGCTTTCTGGCCCAAACCAGTTTCAGAGTCTTCTATCCTGGAGAGTAATTCAATTATCTCCCAGGACAGACACAAGACTCCATTAAGCACATGGTTGCAAAAAGACACAAAACACTTTAAAATACTTAAAGTCACCTTTACACATAACACACAGACATTTCACATATCCCCAGATAGCTGGGATCTGAGTGCACATTATTAGATGAATGGCACTCAGATCACACAAATAAGCCTTTCTGCTGGGGAAATAAACGGTTTAACCTGCAGGGCCATAGTCCAAAGGGAGCAGGCGAGCAACCAGGCTTCTCCAGTTCACAGTGGCGAGGTTGGTTTTGCCACACTTCTCCCCTTTACCAACTAGACTAACAGGGTATCTGACCTCCTGCCGGTCAGTGCCCTGGTTAGTCCAGCAACCCACCCACAAAACAGAAACAGCAGTACAGCCCACCCCCAATAACTGGTTACTACACCTGGGTAGAGGAGAACTTTGTCCATGTCCAGGTGCCTCACCACGACTGTGTGGGCAACTGTTAGGCTGCCTTGGTGGGTTGCTGAGTGGGCAGTGCTACCACGGAAGTAGCCTGGTGGGAGCCTGGTTGTGGGAGGGAGAGACCGACTGTCTCCCCTCTGGATACACCGCTCTGTGGCTGGGGAACAGGACCGACTGTCCCTACCCCTTGTGCTGTAAGTGCAGAGACTACGGTTCCATCTGCACTGTTGGGGGTGTAACATCTCCCCTTGCTGGGTTAGGCTGCCGCTGGAGAGAGGGTGTAACAAGCTCCTCTCTCTGAACTGTAAACTGCCGCTGGGGAGAGGGGGTATCAGGCTCCTCTCCCTGACACACTCTCTGCTGGTGGAGAGGGGGACCAGCTGTCTCCCCTTTCATTATTTTGTCCTGTGGTTGGGGTGCGAGACTGACGGTCTCTGCTCCCTGCAGGACACTCTGCCGCTGGGGAGGACGGACGGCACCTTCAGCTCCCTGGGGTACACACTGCCGCTGGGGAGGAAGGACTGCACCTTCAGCTCCCTGGGATACACACTGCCGCTGGGGAGGAAGGACTGCACCTTCAGCCCCCTGGGATACACACTGCCGCTGGGGAGGAAGGACTGCACCTTCAGCTCCCTGGGATACACACTGCCGCTGGGGAGGAAGGACTGCACCTTCAGCTCCCTGGGATACACACTGCCGCTGGGGAGGAAGGACTGCAACTTCAGCTCCCTGGGATACACACTGCCGCTGGGGAGGAAGGACTGCACCTTCAGCTCCCTGGGATACACACTGCCGCTGTGGAGGAAGGATTGCACCTTCAGCTCCCTGGGATACACACTGCCGCTGGGGAGGAAGGACGGCACCTTCAGCTCCCTGGGTTACACACTGCCGTTTCAGAGTCTTCTATCCTGGAGATAAGTAATTCAATTATCTCCCAGGACAGACACAAGACTCCATTAAGCACATGGTTGCAAAAAGACACAAAACACTTTAAAATACATAAAGTCACATTT